GATTAAATCAGATCGCAGCATTAGTGGTATGTTGTTAATTTATTTTTTTTTAGCATTGTTTGATATTTTTTGTTGATATTCAACCTCATCAGAATTATAATTAGTATTATCTACTATTAATGCTAGGTTTGAAAAATCTACAATAATAATAACAAAAAAAAAAATGAAGAAGTACATTCACAGTTTATTCTATAGAGTAATATACAATACACATGAAAAATATACAATTTAGATTTTTCATGATAAAAATTACCTGACTCAGATATCGATTTTATCCCATTTGAATATTTTCCATCAGTATTTTTATTTTTGTTCTAAATCTTTTAAACCTAAGTAATCGTAGCTCTTGTCATTATGATTTTGATCTCCATTGACCTCCATTGACATTATGATCTCCATTGACCTCTATTGACATTTTTTTTCTTATAATCTGTATATCTACGGCATTTCTCTTGTCTAAATTCAATTTTTCCTTCAAGTTCTTTATCTATATGCCCGCTTATAAACTGTTTTCTAGCATTTTTCTGATTTTCCAAAAATGCTAATTCCTCTTTACTCTCTTTGTTTTTTGGCATATCTTGACTGAGTTGTATAAGCTCTTTAATGTTGGGTTTTCCAATTTCAAAAAGAGTCTCCATGATTGATTGAAATTCTTCAACTAACTTTTCTTTAGTGTCATTTTTCCAAACTAGCAACTTTCCCTTGGTCATTGATACCCATTTTTTGTGAAGTTTAACAAATTTTGATAATATTTTATCCTCTCCAATTATATAGTTTTTAAAACCACAGGACTCCCAAATGTTCTCTAATTTTCTAAGAAGACACAAATCTCCATTTTCCTGATGACACGTTTTTCCTTTGCATTTTATGATATTATAAATTTAATCCTAAAGGACATGTTTTGCTTTTTTTTTAATAATTGATTGTATTATTGTATCTATATCTTGGCAATTATATTTTTAATTTAAAAACAATTCATTTAATTTATTTGTCATTACTAAATAATATACCAAATAATACCTTTCATAAACCTTACCTGAAACTATGTATGAAACTACACCTTTCTCTATATGTGCAATTTTTTATTAGTAGATATGTTAACAGTTTAAAAATGTTCAAAACTGCTGTAAAACATTTTGCAATGCAGTCTTAAACTATTAATTGAAAAAAAAAACTAACATTAAATTACATTTTACTTTTAAAATGATACATTTTGAGGAAGAAAAAAATATTAATGATGGATGAAGATAATTTCAAAATAATGGTTAATTATAAAATCATCCGATTTCTACATCTACCACAATACTAGTCCTTAAAACAAAACCAGAACAGTTTTAATATCACTGAGGGGTGTAGAAAAGAATTTGATGCAGTGTTAATTTTTTTTTTTTTTGTGTGTGTGCAAAAAAATTGTCACCCTATTGTTCAAGTTGTGCTTTCAGCTGTTTTGTGTGCCCATACGGTCGAAGACTGTAAAACTATTATTTAAGACTCAGTGTTTGGTAGAAGCGTAGGGACTGAAAAGTTAATTTTGTCATTTTTGCTGATGATTTTGTATTGCTCAATAAAGTCTCCTCTTTTTTGATGTTTGGTTAGCATTCTCAAGTTAATCCATGATAGTCTCTGAATATAGGACAAGTGTTTTAAGTTGGAAATATGTATTGTGGCTTGTTGTTAAACTTGCTTAAGTTTGGGCTAGTGTGGGTGAACATATGAAGTATGCGCCATAATGTTGAATTTTGGCCTTAAAAAGCCTTTGTTTCTCAAAAAGCTTTCGTTTGCGTGTGCGCCATTATGCTGAACTTTGACCTCAAAAGCTTTCTTGAACCAAGCATTCGGTTGCCAGCTCATGGAGCCATGAAGAAGTCTTGATTTTTTAACCTTCAGATTGTTAGTCATAACAACACCTGGGTCTTGTTCAGATGTTGTGCATGACAGCTGATGCAGTTGGCCTACCAAATTATTCAGTGTAAATTGCAGTCGATTTTTTGGTGTGGTTGCGCCCAGTGTGTATCATAAAACACAAGTAAATTTTTTTATCTTTAGTTTTTGAAGCAACTAATTTTGTGGGAACCACAGTGCCATTGTACACCTTGTTTGTGTCTAAACCCAGGCATGTATTTAAAATCAAAACTATTTTCCTTTCAATTGTGGATTGAAGATTGTCAACAAAATGAGTTTTCAAATGCCCTACTTGTTGATAAAAGTGATAAAACTTAACTAGCAGTATTAGACAATATTGGAGCATATGAACAACATGAGCAATATAAATAAGACTACAACAAGATCAAAAATACAAACCGACTAACAAAATTGAATCTTTAAAATCTTTTATATGACATTCTTTTATGTGACATCTATTGAACAATTTGAAAAGAGTTTCAAAACGTTATTTTGCATTTCATAATTGTCAATTTTCTTATGCTACTTTTGTTTTGAATTATTTTAATGAGAATCATTTTAAATTATATCGTTTAAACATTGTTTAATCTTTTTTAATAATACTCTTCGATAAACTTTAATGTAAGCGTAATTCTAAGTTTTAATGCATAAGCAGGGCCAAATAAATTTTTTTTTTTTAATGAACATTTTCATATCTTTATTTATTGACCAATATCTAGTTTAAAAGAAAAATATCATATATAAAAGTTTTACTTTTAAATCATTTTTATTCTATTTAAAGAGTTATTAGATATATAAAAAATGTCTAATGAATAACATAAACTAGTTGTTCGAATGAATACTGTTTCTTTTTTCAATAATACTCTTCGATAAACTTTAATTAAAAAGTAATCCTTAGTTTTACCAGGGCCAAATAAATCAATTCTTTTAAAGAACAATGACTTTCGTATCTTTATTTATTGACGAACATCTAGTTTAAATGAAAAATGTCAAATAAGGAAGATTAACTGAGAATGTGTTTAAAACAATAACTTTTGCATCAACATTTTGCAAAATCTAACAAATTAAATTTTTTTTCCTTTTGAAACTCAAATGATGTTGATTGCGATTTAACAACTTGAATCATCAAAGTTAACATTTACAGTTTTTGCATTATTGTTTAAATTTAAAACTTGATCGTTTTTTCCTGTTTTTAAAGTAATTATGTTTTAGCATGAAACAAACTTCATGCTAAAACATAATTACTTTCTCCAACAATGTACTTAGTTGTTTTACTTTAAAGTTTTTACTTTTATTTTATAAAAATTTTATAATAATTTTTTCAAATCTTTAAAAAAATATAATCATATAATCATATTTAATAATAAGTTAATAAAAATATTATTGGTGTTGTTAAACACACAATAAAAAATTAAAAAATATAATAAACATAACAATTCTATACATTCGGAAATTAATTTCAAATTTTTAAAAGTGTTTTTAATGTGAAAACCATAATTACTTCATTTTAGGGAAAAATAAAAATTAAAAAAAAAAAGCATGCTATTGAAGCAAGCAATAATAATATTTAAGCATGGTTTGCTTTAAACTGATTGCAAATACATTCATTTCAAGCTTTTGTAAATGCATGCAAAAACCATGCTAAAACATAATTACTTTCTTCAACAATGTACTCAGTTATTTTATTTTAAGTTTTTACTTTTATTTTATAATCAAAAATTATAATACAAACTTAGATGAGCAATATCTATGTAACTAATACTAATATCTATGTAAAAATAGTCAAAAAAAATTTTTAAGTATTTTAAAACTTTTACTTTTAAAAACTAAAAAAGCCATTTCAGCTATTGAAAAAAATTACAAGAGGATTGTGGCAACCGTCAAAAAAGTTTTGTTAAAACTTTAATACTATAAAGCATTTTTTATTTTTTATATTTGAAATATAGAAATGAAAATAAATATAAAAGAAGACAATATATGTAAATAATATGTAAATTTAAATACTATAATGGGCACTGCTCTAAAGAGCTAGCGTCCCTTGTGCCATCTACTAAAATTCATTCTCGTGTTACTCGCCATTCAATTAAGTCTCATCCTTTTTCTGTGACTGTTCCTAAGTGCTTCAAAAACTCTTATTCTTCTAGTTTTTTTCCTCGAACATCAGTTCTTTGGAATTCGCTTCCTTCGTCTTGCTTTCCTGATTCATATAATTTGCAATCTTTTAAGTCATCAGTCAATTGTTATCTTGCTCTACAGATTTAGTCTTTTCTCTTCCAGTAACTTCCAACTCTTATAGTGGTTGCTTGCAGCCTTGTTGGAAGCGAAGATGTTAAAAAAAAAAAAAAAAAAAAAAAAAAAAATCATTTAAACTTTTTAAAACTGTATCTAAAAGTGAAGAATGCAACTAAAATAGATCAAAGTATCAAATTCATTTATTCAAAATTTAAAAGCAAACAATTGCCTTTCGTTCATGTTTTCTCTCTTCTATATCATACAAAGAAACGAAACAATTTAATTATGAAAAATTTTAAGCAGATTGCTCAGAAAGAAACAAGTTGAATAATTATAAATAAACATTTATAAAATATAAAAACATTCTTGCTATGAATATAACCCATCAAAATAAAAAATTATTTCAAAGATATTTATGTATCTTAAAAAAAATTAAAATTTTTTTCAATATGTGAAACCTTAATTTGCTCAAACTTTTTTTAAATTTCAGAATGCATATATATATATATATATATATATATATATATATATATATATATATATATATATATATATATATATATATATATATATATATATATATATATATATATATATAAGTTACAAAACAAATATTTTTGAAACTTTTAAACATAATGTATTATCAATATTAAAATAATTAGGTAAAAAAAATTAAACTTCTGTATGTAATAATTTTTTGTAAAGATAACATTCAAGTTAGACAAGACCTCGCATATTTTTTATTAGTAACATGCTTTCATCAAAAAACATCTTACCCAACAAGTTAAAATCCATTGCTGTTTACAACATTATTAAACTTGAATAAAATTGATATATATGAAATATTAATAAAAAAAACATCTTACCATCCATTTCTATTTGCAAAATAACATCAAAGCGCTTAGACATTTTGAGAGAGTGTTTAATCAAATTTTTATAATAGAGCAAACTTAATTGATACAATTGATCAAGAAATGCAACCATTTTAGACTGATCATCCTTTAAGTCATGATCAATATGTTCAATAAAAGTGTCAACTTCAGGCAAACCAGTCTGGCGAGCAAACTCTTTCCAGTCTGATGACATTCTCTTAACTAAAATTTCTTGCAATGAGCCATTTAGTAATTGGCTACTTTCTAAAAAAAAACTGAATAACCAAAAATCAAAATTTTTCAAATTGTTAAATTTTTTAAAATTATAGTTAACAAAAAAGGTTCATTTCATATAGAAATATTATTTTTTTTAAATTGAGTATTCTACAATAATGATCACTCTATCAACCCCCTCCCCCATTATTGACCATGCTTTTCCACTACACAACTACCGCCTAATACATATATATCTATAATAAAGAAAAGAAAAAACACTTGACATTTCCAAATTTGGCATTATTAATAAACAAATAGGTATATTTCCTGCCTTCATTTTGAGTAAAATTTTAAAAAACCATTAAAAAAGCAAATAAAAGCTTCTCGCAGTGGGACAGAATATGCCAAAAATTATTTTCAACATGCTAAAAATTTGTCATAATGATAAAAACACTCATTATATGTAATTTAATGTTTTTTAAAGTATTTTATTTAAAATAAATATTTAAATCCTCTAATATTTTAATAATGAATTTAATGCTGTTACCCAGTTGTAAGTGTTTAACATGGAAGTCACAGCAGCCATTAACCCAAGTAAATGGCTTTTTTGATGAGAAAATGTGAAAAAAGTGTATAAAACTTATGTAAACTTTAAATTATGTTAAAACTTTTATCAAGCTGTACAGTTTTACTTTAACTTTAAAATTTAATTTAAATGAATTTGAATTGAATTTGAATGAATTTTAAAATTGAATTTAATACTTTAAAATAGGCTTGTGGAGCCGACTGTTTTTTTTACAGCTCGGCTTTGGCTCCCAAGAAATATCCGGCTCCCAAACTTTATGAACAAAAATTGCAAGTTTTGGAATATTTGTTTTGATCACATTTGCTAACCCAAAACTATACCTATTACAGCAATTAATTCTTAACCAACTCTCAAAAGGTTATTGTAATAAAATCACTACTTTACTACTGGATATTATATTTGAAAAGAAAAATGTTTTGGTTAAACAAGCACTTTTTTCTATATATTATTTACCCAAAACTAGAGTTTTTAGTTCAAATTTTAGTTCTAATTCTACCTAGGAGACACAGTACCTAATAACGACGTCTTTTAAACGTCCCAAAGATACCCAAAACATTCAAAAGGCATCCAAAACATCTTACTTACGTCCTTACTTAGTCCCGAGCCCACTGGGTATCCAGTGGGCATGGCAAATATACTTTGCTAATTCCCCAAAAGTTCTCAAAGGGACGGAATTGTGTGCAGATTGATGGATTCAAGCTATTTGATGTCTTTTAAATTGTACCACTCTTCTTAAAATAAATGACAAGAGGCAAGATTAGGGCAACCAACAGGGGACATTGTGACTTCAATAAAATTGCAAAAGTTTAGCTTGCAAGTATTCTTTAATGTAAACATCCAAGTTTAAAGTTGACAATGTGACAAAAGCTCGAGGTCTCAAACCACAGCTGCATATTGCTTGCCAAAATCAAATCTTTAAAAAACTCTGGAACTTTATACTTTTTGCCTCGTTTTCTGTTCGATAAGTTCAAATACTAATTGCTGCTTTCTTATCCTTAAAGCCAACCTTTCTTCCAGATCGTTTTGCTCGTTTGATAGATAGAGAGCTCTTGTAGTGTTTTATGACCATACAAACAGTAGTTTTGCTAGATTAAAAAAAAACATGAGAGCCGAGAGCCGCTTGATATTTGCGGCTCTGGCTCCATCAAAAAACAGCAGCTCCCCGGCTCCGACTTGGCTCCACAAGCCTGCTTTAAAATTAAATTTAATTGAATAAAATTGTGACAATATTTTCTTAATTTTATTCTGATTTAAAGTCTTTTGTATATTAAATAGTTTTGAAACTTTCATCAAACAGTACGCCTTAGTGGCAGAATGTTAGATAAAGGTTAGGTCGCAGAATTGTGAAGTGAAACACCGTGGTTTAAATCCTTGCTCTTTCACTTTTTTTTTCTTTTTTTGATTTTTTTAAAATGAGAAATAAAACATATCAAAGTTCTATAGACATTTTTACTTAAAAACTGCATTGTGGCTAAATTTCCTTAATTTTGATTTAAAGTATAAAAATTTAAAGTATTTATTTGCCGTTTTATAAAGTTATACTCCAATTATTGTTTTTAAATAGTGTTCAAATTGGCAGTTCAGTGTGTATTAGTTGCCGAAGTGGTTAGCTTGCTGCACTTTTAAAGTGCAACGCTAGTGTTTAACTCTTTCGCACCTATATATAATATTTGTAGACAGTAAAAATACACATACTATACTAAAAATGATATATTAGGAATACAAGGCATCATATTTACACCCCATAACGATATATTTTCAAAAAGATAAATAAACAGAGATTGTGTCTCTTTTTAGAAAAAAAAGAAATACTAATGATGGCGGATACAAAAATCACATCACTTTTGCGATTTTTTTTTTTTTTTTACAAAAAAAAAAAAGTCTGGCTTTATGCCTTGAAAAAAGTTAATATAATACTTATTAAGACTTAAAACTACTCGTGGTGCTCGTACTCGTGGTTTTTATCTATTTTCTTTACTCTGTAAAGAAAATAGATAAAAATAGAGTGCTCAAGCACTTGAAAATCTTTAAGATATCAAAAACTATCAACAAATTTGCCAGGACTACAAAAATTTAAGTAAATATAATACCACAAATAACAGTTTTGAACCAAAAAAAAAAATAAAACTTGCACTTAAAAACTATATACTTTTTAAAAAATAAACTCATAAAAATAGAGTGCTCAAGCACTTGAAAATCTTTAAGATATCAAAAATTATCAACAAATTATCCAGGACTACAAAAATTTAAGTAAATATAATACCACAAATAACAGTTTTGAACCAAAAAAAAATCAAACTTGCACTCAAAAACTATATATTTTTTAAAAGATCCTTTAAAGCATAAAATGAAGTAGTTATGATTAATGGCTCTGTTAAAAAAAAACTTTAATTATTGATTTATTATTACAGGGTCATTAACGACCCATTTCGGTGCGAAAGAGTTAAATCCTGTCGCTTGAATATTAATTTTTTTAAATCTTTTCCAATTTCCTAAAATATAAATTAAAACATTTTAAAAGTTTTATTCTGCAGCCATTTTTTAAAACGCCGTAAAATGCTTATTAGATTTTGAGAAAAACGCAATTATAAAAAAAAAGTTATTAGGAGAAACTCTTTGTAAAACGTTTTTTGAAACTAATAATTTTTGAATTTTTTCACAATTCTTCAAAAATATTTTATCTAAATTAGCTTATTTTGAAAATAGTCAAATTCTAATTTTTTACCTTGAGTTTTTTTGAAAAACAGCTGCCATATTGTTAATATATAAAGATATAATAATAACAAACAAAAGGGAGAGAGCTCTTAAAAAAGCTTAAATTGCAATAAATTTCAAAACAGTGGTACAAATTTTTACACATACGTCAAGATAGAGATAATTAAGTTATTGATATGCTTAGGTAATTAGTTAAGTCTACGCGTTCAACGCACATTAAAAAGACAACTTTTTTTTTTTTTAATAGGAAAAATCAATTTAACATTTAAACTTTTATTTTTTTTCAAAACTGAATAACGAGGCAAAGTTCTTAATAAGCTGCAGATGGTCTGGAAAAAAATTTAATAAAAACTTGATAGAAACTTAATAATAAGAAGTTATATAGTATTGAACATTAATTATTAATTCAAAACAGCTTTTTATTTTCTACCGCAAAATAGTACCGCAAAATGATTTTTTTTAATGATAACTCGAAACGGTAGATAGTATAATTAGTTTTTTTACCAATTACTAAAAAAATATTAAAAAAAAAATATTGTAAAGTATAAGTATAAAAATGGTCAGTTTAGAATAGACTTAACAAGACCTGTATTTTAGAGGACTGAAATGTAGGTAAACTTTGAATATCAACTGAAACGTTTTTTTAAGTAACATCTATTGATTAATTTGATAAGTGTTTCAAAACATTTTTCATTAAGATTCTTCGATACAGTTAAATGTAAGAGTCCATAGTTTGTACGAATCAGCAGGGCCCACTTATCTTTTTTTTTTAATGAATGTTGATGTTCGTATCTTTAATTATTGATGAACATCTAAGTTAAGAGAAACATGTCAAATAAGGGAGTTTTATTTTTAAATCATTTTTACTCCAGTTAATAAGTTATTAGATATAAAAAATGCTTGATAAATAACATATATTAGAAGTTTCTACAATGAAAGTTTGTGGTTAAGGACTTTAATGACTCTTGATTAAAATAGTGAAGAAATTATTTTTCTATATATTGGTTTGCTCCTTCAATAATTTTAATAAAATATTTTTTGTTATAATAATCAAATGTCAATTTTCTTTACAAAACAACTTTTTAACGCTGTTAAATCAATAGCTTTGTAGATTAACTTATCTTCTTTCATTTTTAAATTATCTAGTAAACATACAATATTCGAGCTTGGATAAACTGATGATGCGCCTAGAACAATAATATTTGCATCAACTTTATGCAAAATCTTACAAATTTATTTTTATTTTTATTTTGAAACTCAAATGATAATGTTGATAGTGATTTAACAACATCTTGAATAAAATGCATCATCAAAGTTAACATTTGCAGTTTTTGCATAATTGTTTAAATTTAAAACTTGATCCTTTTTTCTGTTTTTAAAGATTTCAAAACAAATTTTTTTTTAATTTAATGCACTATTGGCATCTTTTTTAATTTAATGTACTATTGGCATACTTTTATCTGTAGAACCGTCAGATAAAATTGCAATAAAAAGAGCATTTAATAAGTTTTAACTAGAGTTGCATTTTATGTCAGACAAAATTTTAGAAAATTTTTTATGCAAACTTTGTCACTTAAGTAATTCTTATTCAGCTTAATTCTTATTCATTTAGCATATGTAGCTTGCACAGCTGAGGAAATTTTCTGAAAGCAAAATCTTCATAACAACAAAATATGAAGTCCAAAAAAGTCTGTTCAATTCTTTTTAAAGATTATCAGAAGTTCTTAAAATTTGAAAAGTAGTTCTT